CAGTCTGAGGGTAAAAGGCACTTACGAAAATTCGTAGCAGTGTTAGCGACGTTCTCGATTCCCCCCAAAATCGTAGGAAAATTGTCATTGTTCTGCGATGCGGTCATGCAGAGGAGCATCATCGTGACGACGAAGATCCCACTCGGGTTGCACATTAATTTACCCATTTGTGGGTGTTTGTTAACTTTCGAAACTTTTTAACGATCCTCTCTCCTTTCCTCGGTCCAGTTGTTTAGATTGAATGAGCATGCCACACGCGCCCGACCGCTCCGTTGTAAGCAAGAAAGCCGACTGGCGTGTACCGAGTCAGCTGGTGTACGCGGGACGTCGCCGGGTCGTTTAAAATGCCGACGGGGAGCGCGAAACAGCGAAAGCGAACGCTACATCGTTCTCCACAAATGGTGCCTCCGTCGTATCGATATTACTCCTAAAGGTCTATTTACACTAACGTAACGTGAAAAGTTGTAGCTCTAATTGCCAGATACAAGAAATGTCGTATACAGTTTCCGTTTGGTTCGACTAATATAGAAATAAAAATTGTGAGGCATTCCTGAAATTGTCTTCTCGTCTTGATAGAAGCAGATACCGATTACGACCTCGTAAAAATGTTATATCTGGTTTTATTGCGTCGAGATTTTGACGAAACTTTAAAGACCCATTCAGAAAGGATCTATTTAAGTGCCTCTCAAGTTTCATGAATTTAAAGTCGTTCCTTTATAGAGCGGAATTTAGGAAAGCATGATCCATGTCGCATAACCTATACTCATACCGCATGCGCAAACGTGCACGATTTTTTGGGTCGTTTTAAAGGGATTGATAGAAAAAGTGTACTTCGATCGACGATCATCAAGTCGAGAATGACTCAAGGATCGCCGGAAGTACATATTTCCACTCGACGATCGACAGAATGGACAAAATGACGTATGTGCAAAATGATTGGTCGATTCTTAAAATGTACGGCTTCTGATTGGATATTCGTTCTCCTTCCATTTATCGAAAATGGCGCAGGATATTTTGGGCCATTTCGAAGGGACTGACCAGTTGACCATTAACTTTAAGTACTTAACTCAAGGATTGGTCAGCTGGTCAAAGATTGTGAAATAAAAATGCCAAGATTCATTTCTGTATAATTAATTTGGTTGCTCATAACTTTTGTAGCTGATGAAATTTTAAAAATACAATTAGAAATGATTAAAATTTCTTCCCTCTTGTGAACCGTCGTTTTGGGAAACGTCGTGAAAAGGGGATACGAAATATGTATAAAGTTTCAGAGGCAGTGGGCAGATCCCTTTGAAACTGCTACCAGTTGAACACACAAGCTTGTAATGTTGCTTACTTTTCACTTCATATGCAATTTCTCTCTTTTCCTATTCACATAGAATCAGAATTTTTCTAGAATAAAATTCGCACTTTGTTATTTCTGTTTTCCTAACTAAAACACCATTAAAGTAGTAATTAATTTTTACTATACATACAACCTTAATTAAATTTTACTATATAAATAAAAATTGTATATTATTTCAAACATCTTTTATTATTTCAAAATTCATGTTATATAAATTGTAATAAAAAATACTATGTGCTACGTGTAGCATTGGTAAAACGAGAACGATTCATTACATTATCAGCAGGGTTTTAAATAAACAGGATAAGATTACTGTAGGATTTGCATGAAACAAGAGAGAAATTAAAATTATAGAGTCCTCTTTCATCGTTAAAATTTCCTTTGATGAATCGGCTCGACTGTTGGTCTCGGGTAATATGGTGGGTTCGGAGCGTACGGAGGTCTGTGCGGAATGGGGTACACCGTAATTGCCCCCGATGGTACCGAGGTCGTAACAGGTATTCCATTCAACAGCGTCGCGAGCGTAGCTAGAATTACCAGCACGATAGCTATCGTAAATCTCCTCGTCGAAATCTATAAATAATATTTGTTAAATTCTTATACAGTTTTAGATT